GAGAACTTCCTGCTCATTATCACTAGTTTTTCTTTTTATTGTTTACAGTTATGCACAGGCATACCAGTACATCTACACAAAGAACTCAGTGTACTGCAACTACAAAATAAATGTATGAAAGAACCGAGGAATACTGATTCAAAATGGTAATTGTTTTTAGTGGTATAACCTGTATACATTGCTTGACACTGTACATAGGATTTGAGAATTAAGCTTTTCATATTTAGATTGTAATGAAGAATGAATAAGAGTTTCTTAGAAGCATTTTTTAAAGATTGTGTACATTCAGAGTATGTTAGTAGTGAGCAGATACAATAATACATGTGTTTGGTATGTTCAGTAGCTTCCTTAAATTAACTGCAGGATTCAGAATTAGAGATCACAGGGCTGTGCTTGAAAAGTCATTTCAGTTTACGGTGAATTCACTGTTTTGTAATTGGTTCTCATCACACTAGATATAAATAGGAAACTGATATTTTGTTACTAAACTGTCATATTTATTTGTGCTATAAATCATAGTTTATTCATGGCCAGTACTGCAATATCTGCTTGTTGTCTTGTGACCACCTTTCCAGTATGGTTTTTATTGATTTTTCTCCACTGATAATACATCTTATTCATGAAACTTGCATCCATTTTCTCATCCTTTTTACAAAGTATATAATATGACAGATCAGGAATTTAAGTTCTGTGTATATGTGTGGCAAGGTATTCGTGTCTGATAGGAAATCAAAATTTTGCAATAAATGCCTTTTGAGGAACTGAGTTTCATTGGGATAAAAAATTTTCCCCCAACCAGACACAGTGACTTTGATAGCTACTGAGGGATCTTAGTCTTTCTATACAGAAAAATTCACTCAGTCTTTTCATACCACAGTATGTGCCATTCTAAAAAAACTACTTTTCCATACACATTGTTTATGTGCCTAACTAAATTATAGAGCATACAAGAAAATTGTCAATCAAGTAAGTGGTTGCTAGTGCAATATTTTATGTACACCTTTAAGATACTACTCTTTGCTTTGACAAACACCACAATTTGGCAAATAACTGGTTCATTTTGATGCATATAAAAAACAGAATTGTAATATAATGCCAGTAAAAAGCTGTTTCATATCTGTCTACACTGGACTTGCATGTTGTTCAAAAGTGACTGTATTAATGCATGATGTGGGGTTCAGATTATAGGTGGTTGAAGATTTAAGGAAACCAGAAATCTGTTTTTTGTTGTCAGAAATGCTTGAGTAAGATTTCATATGTAAATAGTGCATACAGTTCACAGACTGAGAGATAATGAGGCAGTTTTATCAATCGCCTGCCACTGCTACACATTCCGAAACAACTGTGAGGAAGTGATGTTATGACAATGACCGTCTGTGCTGTACAACTGAAGAAAAATGTAGTAGAATGCTCAAGGCCACATGTTCCCCCACAACTCTCTCACCAACTCTCAATCTGTGGACAGTACTTGTGTAAATGAAGGCAGAACACAGTGATGCCTCCCTTTAACAGTGGGTAAGATTTGGTGTCCTTATAAAGTTTAAAATTTATAGAACCCATTTTAAGTCTGAAATATCCAATACGAAAGACTATTACTTCAGACATCAAATCATGTTTGTTCTGTTGATCTTATGAATATATTTAAGATTTATGCAGAAGTTTGCTCAGTTTAAAAATATATACAAATTTTTGTTAGCATGTGTTCTCCCTTGTAGTTATCTGAAGCAGACATTGTTAACTTTCTATTTCCTCTTTTTTATATATTTTATTTTAATTCTTTGTACTACAGATTGGTCCACTTTAATTTCAGTAATTTATAACTGTGTCTCAAGTCTGAATGAATAACATTTTGACAAGTAAACCTCAAGTTTGTAACATTGTTTTTGAATGTGTAATATAAACTGAGACCCTGCTGTAACATAGTCCAATTTTTCTTGGAGCTACGATTTGGAGTATGACATAGAACATTATAAAGTAGACATAAAAATCAGTCTTGTGATATGACCTCTGTTATGGCAGGATTACTGTATACCTGATAGAGTAAGTATTTCTTTACAGACTTTAAACCATTATTTGAACACACTGATTTGGAAACAGAAAAGAGCTGGAAAGGTACTACTAGTATATTAACATTAACTTTAAAAAAAAATTAGAAAACGAAACAAAGGTAATTTATATTACTGTGAATTTCCTACTTCTTAAAACCAAAATCGCCTCAAGTGAGCAGGGAACAATATTCAATTTCTCTTGGTTACAGAGGGATTTTACAAGCACTGTCTTGAAATTAAAAGGCTTGGAACAGATAATTATGCCACTTTCATATTTTTGTGAAATGTGGAAATAACATAAATTACACCAAAGTGTATGATAATATTCAGACCCTTTGGGGATGAAGCAGGCAGAAAATTTACACTATTACATGATGTAGAACTTTGTCAATCACATAGGTCACCTGGTGTTAGGATAATGAAATCTATGTTATGAACTGCCCATGGAGCTTAGACATGAGAGTGGGGAAAAAATTCATTCAGAATTTTGGTGCAGAAGCCTGTGGGGAAGTGGTGACTTGGTTGTTTCTTGGGAAAACAGGTCAGAACTGGAGATGAATGGGACTAACTCAGGATCATGCCTGATAGCAGGTACTGATGTTAGTGATGCTGAATCTTTTGATTCTAATACTGCAGTCACTTAGTTGGTATTATGTCTGACATATACTCTAACTAGGTTGAAGCCTGAAGACAGCTTGTTTAGTATCTTAGCTGAAGAATCTACCACCCTACCTAGGGTTTTTCCAGTCTTCATTGGTTGCTGGAAGCTTATTCTCAAAAGTACCTGTTATGCAAATACATCTTTACTTACTTTTTAAGATCATTCTTCTGTCTCATTCAATCTGTAGTTGATGCAGTTTCATTAAATAACCACTGTAAGTGTGTAACAGCAAGTAACTATAAAAAGCAGCAAATAGAAACTCTGACGACTACACAGCACAACAACCCAGAAAACAGCAATCTTCAGACACACTGCTGTGAAAACCTCAAATCCTAAATAGAAACAAACCAACATCCTCTAATTTCAAGACAAAATTTGTATTTTTGTAGCAATATGCCACAACAGTACATTACTATTTGACAAACACAAGAAGGAAAACTAGCAGAAATGTTACTTTAAAAAAAAATTAAAAATTTGTTTTTAATGTAAACTTTAATTATACCTTGTTTATAAACATAGCAAATGAGTTCTTAAAACTGACTAGAAGTAATAATTATCCTCATATATAGAATGCCCCAAATAGTCCTTTAGATGTATTTTTATGACAACTGAATTGCAAATCACATTTCATGTATTCTTGATTAAGAATATACATCGATATCTGATCACTGTTGCATGTCCTCCCAGCCACTGTTGTAAGGTTGGTGCCCTTGAACTAGTCAGAAGTCTTTTAACTTTCTAACATACTTCTCTCCTTAAAACTAAACATGCTATGCACACAATGGAATGCCATTGATAAAAGTTTGTAAGAACTTTTGGTTTAGTTTTATGAAACATCCCAATTCTCTTTTTTGTAGTAGAAAAATATGCATATGCAGTATCCATAAGTTTTTCTCAAGGGAATTTTAGGAACAAACTATATAGTAAACTACTTCTATCCCTCACCAGGTTTATAAATATGATTGATTGGATAAGTACTTACAAAATTTCTTACAGAAAGACTTTATTTCGTATATAACATCCTGTTATAAATAAGTTAGAGAAACTGAACTGAAAGTTTTGTAAATTAAAATACAATGAGTAATTATAGTACACTGAAATTTCTGATATGAAATATGCAAAGTATATGAATTTTTACATCATGTATACATAGGAAGCTCATTTTCACATTTGTTAACATGAGACATAATTACAACTGATACAAAACATACATCATTGTAATATAATTGTATTGATTATGTAAGACAATATTCCATTTGCTGCTTTATCTTCACAACCAAAGCTTGACAAGAAAGCATGCATACCAAATTACAATGAAAATTATCTTATCTAAATTATATCAAAGTCTGTCACTACACCAGATACAGAATAACTGGCAGTGGCCTCCATACCAGTAAGTACTTTGCAAGAAATATACTGATGATAAATACAATTTTAGCTACCAGCCAGATGTAGGTATAAAATTAATTTGTGTAAGATATACAGTTACATAACTTATTTTACTTTCACCAATATTAATTTGATAGATTGTGAAATTATTTCAGCTGCAGTTTAAAAACTTGTTTGGCTGAGGTACTGTTTATAAGTATATAAACATTAATCATAGACTGATAAGACAAAGCATAACTGAACACTGGTCTCAACCACTGATACATTCTTTTACTGGCAAGCAAGACTATTGTTCTACTCAATGGTTTGAGACCATCCATTTTCTGTGCACAGACAATACACTAAGAGATATGAGGGTTCTCTCAGCAGTGAAGAGGTCAGCTTTTGTTTCCTGGGTTGTGCGACTTGTAATCTTCTACATGGTTACCATCATTTCAGATCAATTTATCACCTCCAACTTCTGGGTAAAAGTATACTGACATCACATATCAGAAGACCATTGAACATACTAAGACCCTATGAGTACCAACATTCCTCAGCCATTATTCTAGGAAAACCAAAA